CAGGTCCCATGGGCCTCCTGCTGCCCAGGAGACGTCCTTGTGTGAGAGCTGGGGGGGCATCTGGGCAGACGGGCACCCAGGCAGATGTGACTGCAGAGTGGTGAGGGTGGGGGTCCAAGCTCATCACTCCTGGGGTGGATGGAAACCATGTATCTGTGGGGTGTGTGACCCTGTGTGTGTGTGTGTGTGTGTGTGTGTGTGCCCATGTTCACACAGCCATGTGCAGGTGTGTGTGTGTCAGGGACTGTGATGCTACGTCTGTGGATGTGTGCAGGTCTGTGTCCATGGTGAGCTGTGCACAGGTGTCTGAGCCCATGAAAGTGCTGGTGAGGGTCCTGTCTTTCTCCCCACCCCCACCCCAGCCCTAGGGATTTCAGCTGTGTTCCTAAATGGGGTGGTCCTAGCCCCCTTCCCACCTTTGCTCCCAGCTGCTCTTCCCTCGGCCCTGGGAAGGCGGTCAGAGCTCTCTTACCCACGAGCAAGAGGCCCCTCCGCAGGCTGCACCTGGGGCTGGAAAAGAGCATGAGCTGCCTGGGGTCCTGTAGGAGGAGGGTCTTCCCAGAGACGTGGCCGCCCCTCTGCCCTTCACACCCCCATGTCCCAGGTCCCAGAGGCTTCTGGTTGTGTCTCTCCAGCCCTCTGGGGTTGCCTTTCCTCCCAGGGTGGACTCTGACCAGCAGGGCTGGGGCCTGGGAAAACAGGGCTCTTGGGAATCAACTCTTATCTTTGTGGCTTTATGTTGCCTTCATTTAATATTTACTTATCTTATTTTTATATTTATTTATATTATTTTTTTCAGGTTATTAAAAAACAAAACCAAACAAAGGCTTACTGTTGGGAGAACCAGGAAATACAAAAAAGCATAGCAAAGACAAGACACAAAATTGCTCATGTTTGTCCTGTTATTTCATTTGGTTTTCCTACCCACTGCCTCGCCCACTTTTTAATGTGCCTCGTCCTGTGTTACAAGTGGCTTCTTTTCCTCAACAGTGTACTGTTGCCCAGCTTCCTTAAATATTCTCCATGGCCATTCTGAACGGTTGCAGGACTTGTTATATACCTGAACGAAGTGTATACAAACTATTCCCTGTTGTTGGAGTTTCAGGGTCATCCTAAAATTCACCTTTAGGGGTAACTTTGTGGGTTAGGGCAAACAGTGTGTGGTCCTTGCAGAAGGGAGTGGAGGAAGGGGGAGTCGAGCCATACACAGATGGAACAGTGTCTAGGTGTGTTGAGACCTAACAGAGCGAGAGAGACAGAGAGAAATAGTCAAGTGACAAAGTCTTTCATTCTGAACTTGGGAATGTGTTTGTATTTTTTTAAATAACAACACACACTGCTTTTTAAATTACAAAATGAATACATTTGCTATAGAATTTGGAATGTCCTTACAAACGAAGAAAATTATTAAAACAGTTTAATAATTACTATATATTGATAAATATAAGAATATTTATAAATCAATAAATATAAAAATTCATACAGAGTTGGCCCTTGAACAACACAGGGTTAGGGGCACCAAATCATCCGTGTGGTTGATAATCCATGTATAACTTTTGACTCCCTATAAACTTAATGAATAATAGGTTACTGTTGACTGGAGGCTTATTGATAACATAAACAGTCAGCTAGCACATATTTTGTACATTATGTGCATCACATACTGTATTTT